CTATCTTATTCTGATCATATCTATCTCTCTATCCATCTGTCTATCTAGCTAGCTAGGCATAGGTTTGTCTCTCAGTCTCTTTTCTTCTATCCTCAGACTTCTTAAATTTCTCTCTGTTACTGTTCTGTAACTATTTAAAAATGAAACTGTACACACACACACACACAAGCACACACGCAGACACACACACACACACACAGATAGATAGATAGATAGATAGATAGATAGATAGATAGATAGATAGATAGAAGCAAACATTCAGAATATTCTATATCTCTATCGTGTGCGTGTTGTGATAATGAACAAAGAGGCAATTATTTCACTTTTATTTTAGCTTCCTTAGAAAATGTAACATGGAGGAGAAATAATTCTGATGCTTTTTGTATTTTTATGCTGTTTGAATTATTTTAATTGATTAAATGAAAAAGAAATAACATATTTGATTTTAATTGTATAAACAAGCACACACACATATAAATATACACAGGGTGCGATGGGTAAGTTGTCGCCATTGTATGATTTTTGGGTTTTTTTTTTCAGCGCTTACGCGTTGTTTCCTTTTTATTTTATCGACTGCACATTATCGTAGGTCCAGTTGGGTGCCGTCTGTGAGAGAAAGTGCTCCCTGGCGCAATTCACCCGGTCAGTGATTTGGATACTGCCTTGGCGTACTGTTTTACATTCGCGCCGGAATCTCCAATACGAACATTCCAGGGTGTTCGGGTGTCAAACTGAGGACAGTGCAGAGGATATGGAATGAGTTAGGTGAGTCTAATGGTGATTACAAAGGTATGGAATCTCGGAAAACTCACTCTGATCGTTCTAATTAAAAAAGAACTCCGGAATTTGTTGGTGAGCGATTCAGACTCAACACGGAGGCCTACATCAAGTGCATTGAGAAGGTGGTGCTGCCCTGGGTCAACAGCGTGGCTGCTGGAAGACCGACGTCTGACAAATGTACTCTGCACCGTGACACACAAGCAGGCGAACCCAGTCATGGCTCTCAGACAATTTCTCCGACCACATCTCCGACCGCTTAAATCTGGTGACCTAACTCACCAGACTATACAACTCCCTTGAATATGATGTGTGGGCGCGGTTGAACGACAGACCAACAAAACTCATTGTAATACCAAAAATGAACCGAGGGCAAGGATTACGGAAGCATTCACCAACTTAAACAAGGGGACCGTCCAGAAGAGTGGCCGGAGATTCCGATTTTTTCTGTGATTGAAGCCAATGGCGATTTTATTGATGAAATTTATTCTTTATTATTTCAAGATATTTTTGTGTAATTTTGGTAAATATATCTGTTAAAATGAGATGTCAATGTTATTTTCATTTTCGCGTAATTTAGACAATTTATCCATCGCACCGTGTGTGTGTGTGTGTGTGTGTGTGTGTGTGTGTGTGTGTGTGTGTGTGTGTGTGTGTGTGTGTTTTCCGCCCACCCGCGTCTTTCTGTATAATGTGCTCTACACTGGACAAAAATACATTTTTGCTTATCGTCTGGTTTATACTCCTCCTCCTTTTGAACAGGAGTAGAGGTTTATCCAGTGTCACCTGTTTCGATTTAGATCCCCGGTTCCTTCTAAAGTCTTTGCCTCCTCTTACACTCCCAATATCCCCTTGCGTCTTAGTGGCATTCTTGCCTTACTTGGAGTGAATTAATTAAAAATTATAATAATAAGATTTCATCATTTCATTTGAAAACATTCGAGGAACACCATAGAAACTAGCAGTTAGTCTATAACCAAATTCTATTAAACTATCAGTACGCATTTACTGCAAAAATCCAATGATTGTCTGTACCAACCCGTGTGTATACGCAACTCTGTGTGTGTGTGTTTGTGTGTACAATTTTATTCGTTTTGATAAGTGAACATATAGTTTTTCTGTATTATGTCACAAGTTTCTTTTATTGATTTATTTATGTTTCTTATCTTTTTTACAACTTATCAACCCTTTTATGAGATATTTTAAACCCAAAATATAATTTGAATTCTAAGAAACATTCTCTTTTATCTCAGTTTTTGAGACTAACTTTTATTTTTCCAAATGCTAGTTCTACTATTTAACCCATAACCGGGGAGGAAATGTATCCATACCGTTGCCCAAGTTTATTTGCACGTAAGTGAATGTAATAAACTAGACTCAAAATCGAACTATGTCTGGTGATTACTCAATCTTAGCTGCTATTCATTACACCAGCAGCACACCCACAGGCTTCATTTAAGCCGATGTCGCATCTTATAATTAGTTATGCTGTAAATTCGATACCAACTAAATGTTTGTTTTTACGTGAAAATATGTGGTACAAATGATTAAATGGAGGTGAAAGGGAGAAAGAGTGGGAGAGAACTGTCGGAGAATATGAGATTAAAAAACAATAACATGTAAGAAGTTCAATTCAAAGAAACGGAAATGAGAAGAAAAAGGTTAAGAAAAGAAAAACGTAAGGAATAAGGAAAAAATGAAAATGAATTATAAAAAAAAAAGCTCATAATATGAAAGATAGAAAAAGGAAGAAAAAAGAAAGAATAAAAAGATAAGACAAATGTAGAAATAAAAAGTACGGAAAAAGAAAGAAAAAGAAAAACCAGAAAAAGAAATATCGAAACAAAATGACACAGAATGAAAAAGGAATATGAAAAAAAAAAAAAGACAGAAAGAGAAAGGAATTAAAAAGAAAGAGAGAAATAAAAGAAGAAAGAAAGAAAAAATGAAAAGTCAAAAATGCAAGTTTACAAAATCTAAACAATAGAAAGAAAAAGTAAAATTGTTTAAAGACAAACATCGAATTAAAAAAAAAATCAAAGCTTTGAGTCGAGAGTTGAAAAGTGTGACTGAAGGTTGCGTAGTATAAGGCCACCGGGTCACGTGGTGTCGAGCGGGTGTCACTGTTCAGGGTCGTCATCAGAAACAGCCGCTCGTCGGACCCGGAGGCTATTCTGAACTTTAAACCCATTGATTCTTCGTCGTAAGAAAGATGGATGCACGTTTTGTACACACGCTCCCGGAACGGAATTATTATTCTTTTTGATTTCCGAATTTCTTCTCCACGATCATCTGTTGTCCTTATGGCCAAAGATAAAAAAAAAAAAACATGGTGACGGAGAAAGAAACTAAATAAGTCATAATATGCGATATCGTCACAATCATTTAAATCTAAAAAAAAGAAAAATAAGTTAAAATACGTCATTATATTTTCGTTTTATCTTTCTATGCTAACAGTTTCCACACTCGCACTTCTTACTTGTGGAACTCTCTTCCGGCTTCTTCCTTCCCTGTCAACTTTGATCTTCAAAAATTTAAATGCAATGCCATCAATCATCTTAATTCTTGTTCATTTATTGCCGTCTCTCCTTAATAGTATATTTTTATCATATTCTCTGATGGCTTAATTGCCTTGCTTAGGCTGAAATATATATATATATATATATATATATATATATATATATATAGGATAAGATACATAATTTCTTGTGTGAAAATGATCGATCTGTGGAATTAGGATCGCATTTCAATCCTAAGGAAATAAATTATAATCGTCATGAAACCGTACAGTGGTCTTTTTCTTAATAGCAGTAAAATAAATAAATAAATAAACACACATACATACACACACGCACACACGCACACACACACACACATGCATGTATATATATATATATATATATATATATATATATATAAAGAAAGAACAATAAGTTATATAATCCGGTGTTCTCATTGATATTTTAACTTTTACAAAATAGTGCTCAATATAAATTTACAGAGCATAAATATTATAAATTAACTGGTTTAAAATATATTTTTCGCTACACAGTAACAACCATGTTTCAAAAACTGAAAGCTAAAAACTTCAAATTTAATTTTGTAATTAAATTAAAAACTTTAGTTCCATTTCATGTTCAAGCGAATATTGGAGTAACTTATTTTTTAAATTTACTGAGTTTTACGCACACAAAAATTCATAATTCACTGTTTCCAAGGATACAGAGTTATCCAGTCATTCAGACATGGGTTGGTAGCGTGTTCATTTTTATTAACTATTGTTGTGTCAGTTATTAGTTACGTTCGAAAAGCAGGTTAAGTTTAGGTAGGGTAGGGATATATTTTTCAACGATTTCTGACATCCGTTAAATGCATGTCGTCTGGGTTTGTTTTTTAAATTTTATTGTTAACAGAAAAAATTCATTCGGCATTTTTTCTACTTGTATAATTAAAGTTTTTTGGGGGATGTTTAGGTTAGAATACATTTTATTTAACTACAATTCTAAAATATTTTTACTCTTAATTATTAATAGACTATATTTCTTTTTAAAATAAATAAATGTAATGGAATTACTTGGATCATATAAAATTATTTTTTCATGTCAAATATAAGTATGTATGTTACCATCTCGCATTTTTTTTAATTTTATTTTTAAATATTATTTAAGGAAATTTTTTTTGACAATGACGGCAAAAAATAGCAATACCATTTCTCTGATTCAGTAAATGTTTATTTTTTATAAACTTAGTAATGTATAGTTTCTCATGTATGCACAAAGGAGATGGGTCATTTAATGACCTACATATTCTAGCTTTTCTTATTAATTTCCATTTTACTGTAGGTGTTTTATTGGATTCTTTTAAGTGCCTGAAGTACTTTGAGAGAAATGTTTGATTTTTATATTTATTTATCCTAAATGAACTTAGATGCTGATTGTAACGTTTTTTGAACTCATGGCTTGTGCAACCTATATAAATTTTTATGTTTTCAGGATTTTCAATAGAAGAGATATTGCATTGGTATACTAATGATTCCATGCAACATTTATTTTGTAGAGGACAGTTATGAGGATTTCTACAGTGACATAATTTTTGTTTATCTTCATTTGTTTTTATTTTTATTTTTCTATTGTCTAATTCTTTTGGTTTTGGTATATGTGTTTATTTAAGATATTAGCATTATGTTTCTTAATATTTTTTCTAAGTTTTCAGTACAGCTGTAACTTAATTTTAGTGTACTTTTATTGAAAATATTACTTTCTCTAGGAAAGTGCTTGACTACTAATGCGAGGAAGTTTTATCCTAATTTGTTCTTTACCATTTGGTTGTATGGGATGTATACCAAATTATTTTTCTACTTCTGTTTTTTCTATGGTTTCCATTTTCATATTTTGTATAAGTTAGTTTTGGGTTTTTGTAGCCACTCTCTTTTAGAGATTTATTATAGAAATTAATATGTTTAGCGAAAATCTTGTTATTTGCTAAATTTGTACTTATTCTTTTTCGGATAGCTAAAGGTATATGCTTAATTATAGATAAAGGATTGATATTGGGTTTTTTATAAGGTGTGTATGTATTTTTTCTTAAATCTAATGTTATATCAAGGAAGTTAACTTTTTTAATTTAGTGCTTACTGTAATTTTTAAGTTTATGCTTTTAAATTCTTTATATAATATATTTCTAATTTTATCGATTTTAAAGTTAGTAGAGTTTTTATAACCATAAGTCCATCGTCTCTGTATAAATCAATGTCAGTTATATTAATATCACGGTGCGCTGTGAGATTGTATAATATAAAAAGACCTATGAGATCAGAAGACTCAGCTGAGTCTAGTGATCCGATTGTGATGTCAAAGTGGTCATATGAATTTTTATCCATTGCTCACCTTTATGTATCAGTACCGATTTTTTTGCATTTTCAATAATGCTCTTTTCTTCTTCAGTAATATCTGTGTACTGGGTAGCAAAGTCCAATGCATTCATGAACAGTTCTTTAGATATTGATTGATAATAATTTTCAATATCAAACTGCATTAGTGTACAGTTTGTTTTTTCCTTTATATCAGCAAACCAGTTAGTCACGTTTTTGGTATTAATCCAAAGTTCCAGGCCTATTTTTTCTTTAATTTGTTGATTTACCCTTTCACGGATCTTTTTACTAATTTTTCCCATCTCAGGTCTCATTGGGTTTATTATCCTGTAGTCAGATTAGCCTCGAAATCTGGTTTGTGGTCCTTTAAGGTTATATAGCACTCTCTTTCCTTTAGTTGACCTACTCTATCACTAATTTTCAGTTTGTGATTTTTTTTACTGCTAGTATTAATATTCTCGACCATGTTGAGGTCATTTTGTAGTTCTTATGTAAATCCTTATTTATTACATCGTTTTAGACTTTTTTCGTTATTTTATAGAAGTTTCCTGTTTTGTCGAATTTCACTAAAATTTTATCTGTTGTGTTAATGTCTTTTACAATTTTATCTAGGCGTTTTTGGAAGTAGCATTTCTTTTCACGGAAATTTGTTATTTATTATTTTCAATAGGTCATTTTCAAAACCAGACAAACAATGAATAAACGTTACTGCTTTTTTACTGTTAAAAGCGTAAATTTCCTTCTTGTTTTTGTTTTGTAAGTCATTCCGTTTAAGGAAGAAGTAAGCTCTCCATCTCATCCTTCGTATGAGTTCCTCTGTTTTTTGCATTAATATAACGAAATAATCCTTTTTTGTTGGTATTAGTAATGTTCTTCAGAGAAATTCCGAAATTTATTTTCTCCATAATTTTTCTTGTTAAAAATTAAGAGTGCGTGACTTTAATCAGGTGCCAATGTGTAGCGGAAAAAACATATTTTAAACCAGCTAATATATATATATATATATATGATAAAAAATATATACGTATATAGTCCCACCTGGATTCTATCCTCTTGAAATATATATATATATATATATATATATATATATATATATATATATATATATATATATATATATATTGACCACTAATAATAACAGTATAAGTATTTCCGTTTAGGTTTCTTTTTTTCGTCAAAACTATTAGACATTTTCATGGTCAAAACGTTATGCTCGTGCTCGTAGTTGATGTTGTTAAACATTGTGTCTTCGCTATATATATATATATATATATATATATATATATATATATATATATACTGACACTCGTGTGGTTTTAGACATATGAGGATCCAAGAAACTGATGGACTACCCACAAAAGTCATTTGTTTATAGTGTTGAAGGCTTCTGCACACGAATATAGAGAACAGGTGCACATTATGCCACAAGTTTCCCAAACCACCCTCTGAACGTAGTGTTCTTGTCTTCTAGACAAGGTAGATCGAATTCGAGTCTTGTGAAACTACAGACCAGCATATTTTATTGGCTAAGAAAAAAATTCCCAGCATGCATTTATGTACTTCTGCCTATAAAAGGGGGTCGGTGTGTCCTGCAGTCATTCCTATATAGATTGAAATCAATAGGAATAAGACGGGGTTTCAATAAATAAAACCTTATTACACATATCATGATGATAATAATCGTTATTATTTTCCAAAAGTAAAATTAGTTTTATCGTTTTTTTCGCTGTTAGAAGAATTTGGCTGAATGCAGGGCTGGTGCAAGGATTCTATCACCCATGCTAATCGATGACACGCCTCTCGAATCTATGTTACGGCGCCCCAATCTGCTACATCTCGATTTTTATGTGGTAGTAGTCACATAAAATACAAATTTTGTTGTAACCTAATTATGTACAATAATGGATCATCTGCAATATAAGTGAACAATCCAATTAGAAAAAATGAAAATAAATAGAATGGATCTAAATTAGAGATATGATATAATGGGGGATTCCTGATCATATCGAAAATCCTGGGTATGACGATAAACAGCATCTGGCAGCAGGACCTTTGATTGGGCGAATGTATGTTTTCCTGACCCGATGTGTTAGCACTTGTTAGGGTCCCAGCTATGGGAAAATAGTGAACTCCTAAAATAAAATAAAGCAATATGAAAGTACAAAAATAAATTTTTATAGCAAATTTGCCAGCAATAAATTTTATACAAAATGACTAAGAGTACATTTAATCTGTATTCAAAATATATTTAGTTGAAGCCGTACGTGAAGTGGTGAGTATAATTATTTAAATAACCCACAGAGGTGTTGATATACCGCCAGACAAAATCAAACAAACGAACGACAGATATGGCTTAACTCTTTCCATATTCATATAATATGCTACAATTTCTTAAAGAAATCAAACTGTATTCCAAAATATAACTTCAACAAAACTACATAAACACACCTATCACCGCCTCTAATAATCATGTCCATCCAAACGTGTATATCCACAAAAGCTGAGTATTATCTACCATGTATTCAATTGTGAAAGCAGAATAACATATATCATATTTTTATTACCTCAAAGCTCCCAAGAAAATAAAATTTTGGCATTAAATGACCCATGAAGGAGTTGATATGTCGTTAAGCGAATCAAATCAAATCTGAGCATTCGACATCGTGTAATGGTTAGCAAGATTGTCTCACAAAATCAATTATGACTAATTAGTGAGTTCACTGGGTGCAGCATACTTTTGGCCTTGCGCTAGATCTGAGCTACGTTTAGAAAATCTCTATATTGTCTGTATCTTTTTTTGGGATACTTCGATGTCGTGTAATAGTTAGCAAGCTTGTGTCGCTAGTTACGAATAAATAGTGAGTTCGTTCCACACCTGTTGCTCCACACTTTGGGCCTTGTGCCACATCTAAGCTTCACTTAGAAAATAATTGGATATCTTGACGTGGTGCAATGTCTACGAAGCCTGTCTCGGTAGAACAATTACGACTGAGTAATGTGATCGATCCTTTCTTGGTGACCCATATTAGTGGCCTTGTGCCACATTTAAGAACGCTTAGAAAATTCTCATAATTCTTTCTTAAATAAATCAAGAATGTTTTGCGACATTTTTTTACATAAACTCGAGAAAAAAATTCTCAGTTATGTGCCATACGTGATACACGCTTAGGCGATCATTTGTCTTTCGATATATGACTGACAAGGCAGATTTTTTCCCGCAGTAGCTTGCTATTTCTTTCTGCGGTAGACCAGACTATAGAACCCGGTCTGTCCTGCTATTTATCCATAGTTCGTGAGAAGACAAAAATTAATGAATTTATATCGTCTCTTTTCGATACTTAGCATGAGCAATAAAAATTCACGGATTTGGACGAAAACAAAAAATAGAATGACTACAGAATACACGAAAATTTTTCATCCTTTAATCGTCAATTGTGCTTATTTGCATTTGTAACGTATATAAATATAGTCAGAAAAAAAAACCACGTGTTGATAAGATTGCAAGTGTCACAAGGCACTGAAGAGGGTCCCCAATCAGGGTTGCTAATAACAGGAGCAGTACGAGCCAGGCCTCGGTGAATGTGTGCTGCAGAACTAAAATATATTTTTATTGCTGAATTAATTCGAATGTCTTCAGATATTTTGATGAAATGGAAAGAGTTCGAAGAAAAGAATGAAATATCCAGAATTCAACATCTAATTTTCCACCAACGTTCTTTTACCGAATATGAATTTGCAACGAGGTACTGATGAATACTAATGAATTTCTATTGATCGAACTTGAGATTTTAGAGTAATTTCGTTCTTTTCCTTAAGTTCAACTTATTGACATTAAATATCCGGAGGAAGGCTTTCAACAAGTAATACAAAGTTTTCATAGCAGGCATTGGCTATTGTAATTGTCATGATAACATTTTTTTGTGACGAATCAATTTAACAGTGTTCTAGTAAATTGTTTTTATTCTGTTTCCAAACTGGCTTTTTGACGATGAAATATATACGAAACTAGCAGCATGGCCCGGCGTTGCCCGTGCTTGATTCAAAAATCGTACGACTCATACAGCAATCGCTATCACTTGACTTCAAATATTTTTGCCCTTCCTTGCCTTTAAAGGGAGTGCCCTTTGCCGTGCTGATGTTGCTACATGCCTTACTTCTTGCCTATCTCACACTGCGAATTTTTTATAAGCTCTATACTAAACATTAAATCTGTTACGAAAAAAAGAACAAAACAAAATGAACACAAAACGATCACTTTTAAAAAAGGACTCGTAATTGGAAAAACCGAATGAAAAAAGAATGTTAACAACAAATACATTTTCACAACCAACCCAGTTCTGCGGAATCAGAATCAACGTTGAGTTTAAGCAAGCGAATGAGCGAATTGGAGTAAAGTGCCATGCAGATTTAAATTTTTCCCACTTGTGACGAATGCAGCTATTGATTTTTTTTTTTTTTTGCATGCTAGCATGCTAGTTAACATTCGGGTCAGTCAGCTGTTGGCTCTCATGCTGGCCAATAGAATCTTCCTGCCTATTCGTGACAGCCAGCTATAGGCTCTCACTCTGGCCAGTAAAAATGGCCGCAAGCTACATGAAAACTGTCGTAGAAGCATGAAAAAATCGATTATTTCCACTATCGATGGGAGTTGGGGAATGCAAAGTCGGTCTTGGCCTTTTCGCTAACTTGGAGCATGTGCATGTAAATTTTGGTGCAAATCCGTCGAAAATTGTGGCCGTGCATTCGTTACACACATACACACACACATCCTGCCTTTTATAGATAGAGATGTCGGAGATAGATAGATAGATAGATAGATAGATAGATAGATAGATAGATAGATAGATAGATATAATATAATATAAACTGAGAGATAGATAGATAATAAACTTAGATATTTAGTAAACTTAAAATAGACAATGAATAAATTTAGATAGATAATGATTAAAGTTAGATCAATAGTTAAATAATTAAATCGATAGATAGATAGATTGATAGATAATGAATATACTTAGATAATTAATAAACTGAGAAATATAATGAATATAATGAATATAATGCAGATAGATAGATAGATAGATAGATAGATAGATAATGATTAAACATAGATAACGAACAAATTTACATGGGTAATGAATAAACTTAGATAATGACTAAACTTAGATATAACGATAATGAAAACATTTGATAGCTAGCTAGATAAATAGACAGAAGGATAGATATGAAAAGACCGAGATAGATAGATAGATAGATAGATAGATAGATAGATAGATAGATTATAGAAGATATTTTTCTCGCAAAATCAATTCTTAATATTCATCCACTAGGAAAATAACCTTCAAGCATCTTAACGTCCGATTCCAAAATAGCAGAAATAACCTTTTTAAACCATGTTTGTTTTCATACACTTTACCCAGGGTGTTATCATTGCATGTCCAAAATCACGACACACAGACACGCATAAGTAATTATAAATACACTCTGGAAATTAAGCTACTTTTCTACAACCACTTAACAACTATAAATTCGCTTGTACAATGTCATCTGCATTTGTGAATAAGATGAACAGATGCAATTTTTGCGCGGCCATTTTAGTCATGAATGCGTGTCATAGAGAAATGAATTAAAAAAACGCGGGTAAGTGGTGGGGTTAGGTAAAGAAAACAAGTGAAGAACAAAAGCCAGACAAGTGGAGTCCGTTTCACGTCACACACGATCCCAGTCTCAAGTGCTTCTCTCAAAGTGCTTGCTGTTTTCGCATGGGAGTCCCACTCCAGGGTCCCTTATTCGGCCCTCATGCGATGTACCCCCTGCTATCTCCACATGAACTTACGGGCTTGTCCTATGCGTGACGAAGTAAGTCGAAAACTAAAGTGATGAAATAAAATAGGTCAACAAGGCAATGGCGACGGTTATGTTATTTACCATCTGCGCCAACCACCAAAATTGGCGTTGTCTGTGTGTGTGTGTATCTGTGTGTTTTTATTTTATATTATTTCTTTAACCGAGTTCACCCAAGGCAAGGCAGTAAAGCCACTACAAGGGTTTACTCGGTGTGGAAGAATTAGTAAACGGAAACATTACCAAAGTCCGAAAAAATATGGAATCAGAAGGACAGCAGATAGCGATTGACATTGCATTTAATTTTTTGCAGATTAAAGTTAGCTGGAAAGCATGGAGCCATATGGGAATTGCACAAGCAAGAAGTGCGATAAAAGACATTGTTATAGAAATTGCCCGTGACATCCACCCAGCTCAACTGCGGTTACATTCAAAATGTCTAGGTACCATAGCGAAGAGTGATATTTATTTGTATTTTTATACAAAATGCGGCACAAGGCCAAAAGGGGAATGGGGAAAAAGCGGTCATCTTCTGGCTGACGTTAAACTCAGATAGCCACGTATATATATATATATATATATATATATATATATATATATATATATATATATATATATATATTCAGTTGTATGGATATATATATATATATATATATATTCAGTCGTATGGGTATATATATATATATATATATATATATATATTCAGTCATATGGATATGAGTTTGTGACCCTGGGTTTCACGCTCTGTCTGATGATCGTAAAAGCCTGAAACTCAGGGTCACAAACTCATATCCATACAACTGAATATTTTAGCTCTATCACTGATATTGAGCACTCTCAAAAAGTACTACTCATATATATATATATATATATATATATATATATATATATATATATATGTGTGTGTGTGTGTGTGTGTGTGTGAGAGAGAGAGAGAGTGATAGATCGATAGATAGACTGAGAGAATTTTAAGGAAATTCTTATTGAAAATTACTAATGGTTTTTTTCTTAATATCGGCATATTTGCATAAAACTAATTAAATTGTGATCCCTAAAGTAGTAGGATTCCATTACTAAATTCTGTTTTTATTTCAGAGTGACAAAAAAATTCAAGAATGGCACAACGTACGACACTTCAGGAGCGAGATCAGCTAGCATTATATTACGAAGTGTGGCTGTTCATGGAACAAGCGAAGTGGTGGTGGCGCATTTTTTATGGACATTGTTCATCAGTAGATAACAAAATTATACGTGACTGTCAGCAAAAGGAACAGCTCGATATGCACATTACATATTGGAAATACCAAAATCAAACAAGTACAACAATTTAAATATCTGGGAAGTGTCTTAACAGAGGATGTAAAGTGTTGCACTTAAATCACAAGGCACATTGATATAGCGAAAGATGCCTTCCAAAAGCTAAGCCAAGTATTAAGAAACAGAAAAAATCTTTAAAAACAAAGAAAACAGCTGATGTTATTTTAGTCCTCCTATATGGCGGTAAATGCTGAACAATTTCCTCAAAAAGGAAGAAGAGACTTAATGCAACAGAAATGTCGTTCTACAGAAGGATGCTGAGGATACGATAGACCGAACATACGAAGTTTTAGAGAAAATGGAAACAAAAAGGATATTTATACTCAACATAAGGAAGAGACAGTTGAGATTTCTAAGCCACATAATGGGGAAAGATGGTTTAGAAAATCTGATACTCACAGGACAGATTAAAGATAAAAGAGACAGAGGAAAATAAACGCATACCCTGACTAGCGAGTGTGAGTCAATGCAGGATGTACCAAGGTTTAGGAAAAATAAAAAAAAGACAAAATTATTAAGAGCTACAATGGACAGGAAATTGTGGAGAGTCATGATCGCCAACAAACTGAAGGGACACGGTAGATAGAAGATGAATAGGCTTGAATAAATGCAGGGCGGACCCAGGTTTAGGTGAGATAACAAAAAGACAATATTTATTGAGAGCTACAACGGACAGGAAAATGTGGAGAACCATGATCGCCGACGCATTGACGCGACGTAGCAAGAAGAAGAAGAAGAAGAAGAAGAAATGGTCCTACAGAAACATCTTACTGAAGAACCCTATTTCTGTTGCTCCAAGTCTCTTCTTCATCTATGAGGAGAATTGTACAGCATTCAATGTCATGTAGGAAGGCTCATACTACACAACAGTACAATACTCTTTTCTTTTGTTTCAAACGATATCTTGCTTAGCTTTTGGAAGGCATCTTTCCCTATCCCAATAAGCTTTCATTGTCGCACTTTCCGTTCTCTGTTAAAACACTTCCCAGATATTTACATTTTTCTTCTTGCTTAATTTTACCATCTCCAATTTGTAATTAGCATGTCGGTCTGTTCCTTTGTGGACTAATTATACAATATTTATCTGAGTAGCCGAAAAAATGTTTGAAAATGAAATCCAAATGCTTTCCAGAAATTAAGAAAATATAAAATGCAGAATTTCTACGTATCATCTAATCTCCTATATAGATTCTTCAGCTCTTAGGTGAAGTCCTGTTATTTTTTCTATTTTATTTTTTTTTTTTTTTTTTATGTTGATTTCTTTCATCTACACCTATAATACATCAATATCTACATTTATTTTATCGTCCGGTTCACACTCCTCTCCAGTCTTTTGAATAGGATTAGAGGTTTAGCTCCTATTTCCTGTTTCCGATTGGGTTTCCTGTTCATTCGAAAGCCTACTTCAATTCTATACATCTAACGTCTCTGCATAAATCTCCAAACATTTACTTACTATTGGTTTACATTTTTTCCTCAAAAGATGTAGATAGATTTACCTATCGTCCGGTTCACACTCCTCTCCAGTCTTTTGCACAGGAGTAGAGGTTTACTCCTTGTTTTCTGTTCAAGATTGTGGTTCCGATTTCTTTAAAACCTTTTTCTCTTTCATTTCCAATGGGCCCTCGCTACTTTTTCGCATTATCTCCTTGTTTAGATTAGTGCCATTTGTTCTTTAACCTTCTAACTTGAGTGACTCTTGGGCCTTTTACAGAGTGACCAATGTTACAATGGTAAAAATGGTAGTGAATATAGAACAATGTATGTAGAATAGACTTGAAGTGATAGAAATATGATTCGATCGACAGCTGCTGATAACTGCATCGAGGAATTAAAAAAAAGATATGAAATACAAAGATACAAAAGAAAGAGGCAGTTAGATTTTCTCAGACAGATAATAAGGAAAGAGAGCTCGATGAATTTGACACTCACAGGACATAGGGAAGGTAAGAGAATCATAAGGAAACAGCGAGTAACATGAGTTTCTATGATTAGATTGTAAACCAAAGACAAAGAAGGAGAGTAATGGATTAGGAGAAAAACAAAAAGGAGAGTTATGTCCCTAAAAGGACATGGCGTATAAAAATGAGCTATTTTTGACAATTCATATTTCTTTTAAATATTGTCATTCTTATCTCCCTTAATATCCTTACTTTATCTAAATATTTGTAATTTTTCCCACCAAGCAAGGCAACAAAGCCAGTAAGACGCAAGGGGTTACTGAGTGCGAGAGAATATGTGAAATAGAAAACATTATTAAGGAGAGAGAACAATAAAAGAACAGAAATGAAAAAGGCAGGAGATAATGATTGACACTGCGTTTAAATTTTTTTAAAAATCAAAGTTGACTGGAAATCAAGAAGCCGGAAGAAAGTTTGAGAGAAGAAACTATAAGCATAGAACTTACGGTTAAGTCTTAGCAATTTCAATTGCTTCAATTCAGGAAGTCTAAATACCAAAGAAAGAAGAATTACCATGAAAATATTTATAGAAAAGGCGCAACAAAGCGACGTTACGGCAGTGGGAAAGTGACTGAAGACAAGATGCCAGGTCAAGACCAATAATATCCGTTGATATTTTTTTAGACTTTCAATCGTGCCTATGTTTGATTGGTTACTCTTGGTATAATATTAATCGCATTTTGCTCAATATATTTCCATGTAAAAAATTGTATTGTTAATACAACGGTGAAATGAAATTATATCTTGAAAGAAAAAAAGATTAGCAACAGAACGACAAAGACCGAAAGCTTATTTCAAGACCAAGTTCCAGTAAGACGATTATTTAATACACAAAGGTACCTGCGTGCCTCTCAGGAAAGTCTTGAACAAATAAAACTGCATTCTAAGAAACGTAGGAGAAAAGAAACCGATGAATTAAACTCTTCATTTTGCTTGAGAACGAATTTTGTCAAAATGGAGGTAAATGATGTTTTGCATAGATTATTAATATGACTGAGGGAAGCAGTCACTCGTACTGTTGAGTAAAGGATTTTGGTTGGCATTGAGGAATCGAGAGCCGGGTTCAAATGCTCATAGAGAATGTATTCAACGGATATACAAAAACAGAAATGGCCGTAATGTGTCTTCTCACCGCACTTATTCAATTTTTACAGCGAGGCAATTCTGAGAGATTTGGAAATCCTATCTGGATTCAGCACTGGCGACCACAATGTTAATGACTTAAGATACGCAGATGACACATTACTGATAGCAGACACGGAAAGGAACTTACAAAATCTCCTACAGAAGATAGCGAAGGAGAGCGAGAAGAAGGGACTAAGCATAAACTACAAGAAGACAGAATGCATGGTCATCAGTAAAAGGATGAGACGGAAATGCGATTTACAGACTGGGAACACTAAAATCACGCAGGTGCAGAAGTTTAAGTATCTGGGGAGTTTTTGACGGAAGACGGTAAGTGCGACGCTAAGATCCGAAGACTTATTGGGATGGCTAAGGACGCATTCCAAAAGCTGGGCAGAGTATTGCGAGACATTCACTTCGTACTAATACCCTTGGAAAATGTATGAATCCATTTCTTCTCACTCCCCAGCTATGGGTAAATAGCAGGGTATACTGAGTTATATAACCTTGTCTATGAGAAGGAAAAACTCAAAACTGTTTATTGCCCTGGCAACGTACATAGCAAGGAAAGGGTCGTTCATATTGTCTCTATGAACGTAACCATGATCGATTCTTATCTCCCTTCCGACTACAGACGGGACAGGAAATACAAAAATAAATACACATGAACTATATAAATGCAAATTGAAAAGTATTATATGGTTTGATTAAATATATAATATTTAAAATTATATCGATGATAAAATATTAATTTATCTTTATTAGATATAATTAATTAATAATTATAATAATCTTTTTTTTTAAAAAATCATTTCAACACAAGCAAGACGTCAATGCCATCAGACGTAGTAAAGAAACAGGATACAGGAAGATGTAAGATGGCGATTGACTATGCATTTCAATTTTTGTAGACCATAGGTGCAGGGAAATGAGAAATCGAAAGGTAGTTCTGCAGTTTCGAAGTCCGAGGAATTATTAGAGTAAAAGTATCGGTTCCATCTCGTTGGTTCAACTGTAAGACGATGAGACCTAATTGACAATCAAGTTGCACACTTACATTCATGTCATCGAGGCACTAGGGGAAAAAGCTCCCCAGAACAATTATATGAAAAGCTTTGTAGGAAAGGCATACGGAAGCCACGCAATGTCGTTCAGAAATTGATTGAAGACAAGATGCCAGGTCAGGATCGATTACATTACAGGCCATTTAAATTTTGTCAAGAATCTCGAGATATAGATTAGGAGAAGTAAAACAGCTACGTCAGCAGTATTCAATGTACGGACGAATGGTCGATTTATAAATAGTAATTAGAATAATAATTAAAATAGTTAAAATCAAAGAACATCATTGGAAAATCGTAAAATTAAGGAATCAGAACATATGCTAGGCCATATAAATGTCCTGAGCCGACCAAGCATTGAAATGGATACAATATGGGAACCACAGAAAAGCAATAATGACAACGAAAATTGCAATATGAGCTCTGGTAAAAAAATGCAATGATAACAATGATGATGGTAAAAAATAGTTGCTGAAGACATTAACTTTACAAGTCCCAGAAATTCATACATAGATGTCGTTAAGGACACATGGCACAGTGGATAAAGGCGTTGGTTATATCCAAAGAGTTGTGAGTTCAATACCTGGTTAGGACAGTGGAGAACTTGGAGAGGTGAATTAACAGGAGATAACTGACATCCATTAGACATGGCACGTGGAACTAGAACAGTCTACACCAGCGAGCGAAATAAAGGGTTCAGTTCGACATTCCAACCACCTGAAGAAACGTTGTAATAAATATGGCGACAAAGATGAGGAAAATAGTCCGAATAATGTAAATAGTGTACATAATACCTCATCTCAGAAATCCAGACAGGTACTGAAGGGCGGAAACTTTGTAATAATTATGGTTAAAAGATGAGGACAATAGTCCGAATAATGTAAATAGTGTACATAATACCTCATCTCAGAAATCCAGACAGATATTTAAAATAATTATAAAATTCTCAAATCCTCATAACTAACCTTTATAATCTTACAATACATATCTTTGATTTTGAAGACCAGACGGATAACATTGATATGAATTTTATATCATCAAATGCCTTCCCCACTGCGTAAATTTTATATCTTTCTTCTCTGGATCCAAACATCTGTACTAAACTTGAGTGCCTATGACATTAAAATCATTATGACAACATCAATCCTAAAAATTATAAACCTAAACGCCAAAGAGACTGGGAACAAGATAAAATTTGCTTATTATCTTCCTTCGACAACTTCACCTATCGATTAACACGCCATAAAAGTGATAGTTTTATCTTAAGGGTATCTTTAAATTTGTTAGTCCTGAACTGACTGCTTCAAAGTAAGGACGCCTCAAGATAGACACTTAGACTTCGGTTATTGAAGTGTTGGGTTAAATTTGTAAGTTCCTTTCTGTTACTTAGTTTGTTTGTTTTTCTGTTTTTACTGAATGATCGGGGTTGATAGTTTACGGGTGTCACCAACTGAAAGACTGCTGAGGTTTTGGCGAACAGTTGTGACATGTCTCTGATTAATAACTTGATCAGAGATTGTGACAGGCGAAAGCATTGGGCAGAATGTCGGGATTGTGGACACATAAAGAGAGAAAGCACGGAACGTGTGGGCAAGGAGGAGGAGGATCCCCACAACAGCCAACTAAGCTTGTTAACACAAAAGGTCGAAAGGTTAAGACTTTGGAGGAAAAAGCGTAAATGGTAGGCTTCTGCGTTTAGAGTTAGGGGTCGCTGAAAGTACCCTGCCCGGAGGACGTTAAAACTGTGGATGGGAGAGAGGGGTTAGTTTACTCGGAGGATGGCTGGAACATCTAGCCCGGGGGTAGGGGTGAAATTGACCATACATGTTTGAGATGCGAATTCTAATATGTTCAGTGATTTAGACTTTTCAATATATGTAATTGCTTTTGGAGTTTTGTGTTGTAGTCGCTGGGAATTGAGTGTTGTTTGGTGGGTGAGTGGCGGATTTCAGAGGGGATGTTGGCTGGAGAGGTGTGGTGCGAGGTAAGATGGCGGATGGTTGATGGCTTGCAAGTTAGAAGGTGGGTGTAGAGATTGAAACTGGGTTGGCTCTAAATGAACACAAAGAAAGGATGCGTGGAATTTGATCAAATAAAAAGCTTGCTGGCCACACCTCTTCAATTATTCGCACGAATAAAGGAAGAGGAAGAAGTTGGTGGGGATGGGATTTGATCAGAGAGGGTTAGGGTTGGGGAAAAAAGAGGTAACTGCTAGCAAAATGTGAAGGAAAAGAAGAAAAACAGTAAAAAGAAAAGACGAACGGAATGAATGCATGAAGAAAGGAAGGAAAGAGGGAAGGAAAGAATGAAGGAAGGAAGGAAGGAAAGAAGAAATGAATGAATGAAGGAAGGGAGAAATGAATGAAGGAAGGAAGGAATGAAAGAAGGAATGAAAGAAGGAAAGAAGGAATGAATGAAATAAGGATGAATAAATGAAGGCGGGAAGAAAGGGAAGAATGAAAGAAAGAAGTAAGGAATGAATGAATGAAGAAAAGAAGGAAGGAAGGAATGAAGGAAGGAAGGAATGAAGGAAGGAAGGAAAGAATGAATGAAGGAAGGAATGAATGATTGAAGGACGGAAGTAATGAATGAATGAAGGAAGGAAGGAAGGAATGAAAAGAAAAGGAAATAAATGAAGGAAGGAAAGAAGAAATAAATGAAGGAAGGAAGAAAGGAAGGAATGAAGGAAGGAAGGAAGGAAGGAAGGAAGGAAGGAAGGAATTAATGAAAGAAGGATGAATAAATAAAGGCGGGAAGAAAGGGACGACTGAAGGAAAGAAGTAAGGAATGAATGAATAAATGAAGAAAGGAAGGGAGAAATTAATGAATGATGGAATTAATGAATGAAAGAAGGAGGGAATGAAGGAGGGAAAGATTGAAGGAAGGAAGGAAGGAAGAAATGAAGGAATGAATGAATGAATGATGGAAGGATGAATGAATAAAGGAAGGAATGAAGGAAGGAAAAAAGAATGAAAAAAAGAAAAAAGGAAGGAAGTCAGCAAAGAATGGAGGAAAGAATGGGAGAAAGGAATGAAGAAATTGAAGAATCAAGGATGCACGAGGGATGCAAAAAAGAAAAGAATGAATCAAAATAGAAAGAAAGAATGAAAGGAAAAATAAAATGAAGAAAGAGATGAAGCAAAGAAATAGGAATAAAGAAAATATGAAAGGCAGAAAGAAAAGTGAGGAAGAAAAGATTAAAGAATGAAAAAATGAAGGAAGGATAAAAGGAAGTAATGAAGAAATTAATTAAGGAATTAATGAAGGAAGAAAAGAAAGATGAAATTAAAAAGGAAGAAAGGATGGAAGGAAAGAATGTAGAAATGGAAGAAGGAATGATGGGCGACGGATGAAGGGAAGAAAAAATGAATGAAAATATGGAGGAAGGAAGGAAGGAAAGAAAGAAGGATGAAAAGAAGAAGAAGAATTAAAGAAGAATTAAATGAAGAAAGAAAAAAGAAGAAATTGATGAAAAACTGTAATTATGAATAGAGTGAATGAATGAATGAATGAATGAAGGAAGGAAGGAAGGAAGGAAGGAAGGAAGGAAGAAAGGAAGGAAGAAAGGGTGGACGAAGGAAGGAGGGGAGTAAATGAAGTAAATATTTGCGAAAGAATTACAAAAATAAAGGGAGTGAATGACAAGTGAAAGAATATAGAATTATTAAAATGGAATTAAAATAAATGGGTGTCTGAATGAAAACAGAAATAATAATAATAATAATAATAATAATAATAATAATAATAATAATAATAATCCCTGTTGTAGTTGGAGCTCTAGGACTGGTTGGAAAAGATTGCAGTAGACTAATTGAAGGGATTCCTGGAAGTCCATGCCTCAAGGAGATACAAAAAATTGTTCTGACAAGTACAGCCCACACCTTACGAAGGGCTTTATCTATGTAATTTAATTTTTTTTTTTTTTGTCAGTGGAAAGTGTCATGACGCCATTTCTAACCTTAGGTCCCTGGGCGGGACCCGGAAAGAAATGTGTAAACGCCAGAAATCAAAGAAAATGATAATAATAATAATAATAATAATAATAATAATATATGCACTGGAAAATATGTAACTTTTTCGGTAAGAAAACTGGAAGAAACCGGTTACAGAGATAAGACGTATAACAAGTTTATGACAGAACAATCACAGGTAATCGCCCAGACATCGTGATCGTACACTAAAAGAATAGAATGTGCTTTCTTATTGATATGACAGTCCCTGCAGATTGTAATGTATCTTTGAAGATCTTCAAAACAATTTCAGTTGTAGTTGGAGCCCTCGGGTTCTGATAGACACATTAAAGGAATTCCTGGTAGCACAAGCTTTAAAGAAATACAAAAAATTGCACTCACAAATATAGCTCACACATTATGAAGAACTTTATCGATTTAAGATGTGTGTGGTCTGAGGATTTTCTTTTTTTTTTTTTTTAGCAAAGACGATCAGTGGAGAATGTTATGAAGCCATTTCTGACTCTGAAATGTATATACAACAAAAGTAATATTAATACTAATAATAATAATGAGAAGGAGAAGAGGACAGAAAGAAGAAGTAGTAGTAGCAGAAGAAGAAGAAGAAGAAAAGAATCTGGCATTAGGTCTCCCGTGTTGAGATCCGAAAGGAAATGTACATACAACAGAAATCAAAGAAAATAATAATAATAATAATAATAATAATAATAAGAAGAAGAAGAAGAAGAAGAAGAAGAAGAAGTACCTCATCGGAGAGTCAGCACGTAATATCATATCAGATAAAGTTGTTATTTTTGTGGGATGGGGGAGCTACAATGATGTTCACTTTGTGCAAGGCTCGAGAGACACTCGTAGTAGTCGATTACAAAGTAAGAGTCATATTTTATGCAGATATATGGGGAAGATAACGGTTGACCCTAGACAGGTTAAGATTGTAGTGATCGGTGAAGCATCCACTTGGGAGTTATTTCCACAAAGCAGCGGTTTGTGGGAAGAAGCTGCTGGAGTGGAACTTACATCTCACCAATGGAATATGAAGAGAATGAGGGTGGGGTCGCTACAATGGGCGTGGCATGGTGGTGCTTGAAGGTTAGAACCAGCGAAAAATCCAAAATTGCATTTACTTTCCAATTTACCGTAAGATTAACTTCACTTAGCATTACCACTGTAGTGAGTTTGATCCTCACTGGGTGATCTCTGTTGAAAAAAAAAATATCAATATCATGGGTGATTAACTAATTAAGGAACGTGTATATTAGACGTAAAGTTCCTGCAGACTGTCTTCTCCGGTATAAAAGCCAAATTCATCTCATTTCCTGGTCGTTATAATTTCAATTGGGGATGCAGGTCAGCACCATGAATAAGAATTAACGGTTAGGCCGAAGCGTGAATTCCACGAAAAAGACACAGGAAAAAGAGAGATATAAATAGATCAAGACAAAAAAATTACCAGTAGAGAAAATAAAGTGTGTTCCAATAACTTGGAAAGATTTTAAATGTGAATTAAGTTTAAGCGACTAATGATTTTTTTTTCTTTTTCTTTCAGATTTGGCGGACATTCGATCGATATTATTTTTCACATATAATTTCCATGACTTAAAGAACATGATCCAATAGAGAAATAAATAAATTTTCACCAATAACACAGATTTATTTACTGCTGACTTTGATCCGTCTTAATGAAACACCCTTATAAATAATCCGTTTTAACTCTTTACAACTCCCTTCAGGCTACGAATGCAACAGGCACTTGAAGAAGATCGGAGAGTCTATCTAAGAAAAAGAGAAAATTAGTCTAATTGAATACGTCTTTACTTTATTTTTCTTTTATATTCCATGGTTGATCATGGTACTCCACAATTTCCCCTTTTTAATTTGCTCGAAATGACTTTTGTATCATTAACCCCTACTCTTTGTTCTACATTCACAGTAATTCGTTAAGTAAATTATTTGCGATTTCCTTCTTCTCTTGCGTTCATTATTATTATTTTTTAATCATTTGACCCCAAGGAAGAAGATAATTCCACTAAGATGGAATGGGTTACTGTGGAGAATGGCAAATAAAAGAACGTGTTTCGGGAAGACAAAATACGGCAATTGGCGTTGCATTAACATTTCTTGACCGGACTTATTTATCGAAAAAGAATATATATCTTTCTTTTTTTTTTAATCATTTTACACCAAGCAAGGCAATAAAGCCACTAGGATATAAGAGGTCACTATGTATTAGAAAATTTGAGAAAAAACTACTATTAATGAGAGAGGACAACAAAAGAATAAGAATTGAGAAAACAGCAGATAACGATTTGCATTGCATTTACATTTTTGAAGATTTAATTTTACTTGAAAGAATCCGGAAGAGAGTTCCACAAATGATAAGTGCGATAGAAGAAACTGCTAGCATAGAACTTACGGTTACATCTCGCCATTTTAACTGCAAAATGATGAGACATTGCCTCCAATCTAGTACTGAGCTTAAATTCGTAAAGTCTACGTATCAAAGAATACAGCTCACCAGAATATTTACCATGAAATTATATATAGAAAAAGCACAGGGAAGCAAC